AGCGGCGAGGGCGAGTGAGTGCGGCGGCGTGGGGCGGAGGCAGGCGCCCGGGCCGCTTGGGATTGGGCCGCCGACCGGACCACCTGCCACCCAGGGGAGGGTCCCGGTGGCTAGAGCGGGGCGGGGTGCCCCGGGAACCCTGGACCCAACTGGGGCAGAGGGCACTGTACCGGGCCGGACTCAGGCATTCAGGAGGCGGGCGAGCCCAGGTTGCTGAGAGGCCGCAGGAAGGTTTGCTAGACGAGAGGCGGGGGCGAGGGCGAGGGCGTGTGCGAACCCTTCCCCATGCGCCCACTCCCCTACCCTACCAGGAAAGGGGGCTCTAGGCCCAAGATGCCTTCTTCCCCCATCTTGGACATCTTTTCGCCGCACTTTCTGGCAGGATCCTGAGGGCGAGTATTGTAGCTTCTGGGGCCAGACACCCTCCCCGCCAACTTCTCCATCTGGAGCCCGCTTGCCCCACCCCCTTCTGCGCGGGAGGGGGGCGCAGGGAGTGGCGGAAGCAGGCTTTCCTTAGGGAATCTGCAAACTTAACCCCACTGCCTGATTGTTGTAAACACGACACCCGTGGGGGAGTGCAGTGGGCAAAAAGCTCCTCCTCCCAGGCCCCACCCCACTGCACCCACAGTCCTCATGCCGGTCTCTTTCCTGGTTCCCACCAGCGCCAGGTGATACGGAGAGCTGAAACCATGGTTCCGCAGGTGCTGTACCGGGCTCTGGTCTCCACCAAGTGGCTGGCGGAGTCCGTCCGGGCTGGCAGGCTGGGCCCTGGCCTTCGAGTGCTGGACGCCTCCTGGTACTCGCCGGGCACCCGCGAGGCCCGCAAGGAATACCTAGAGCGCCATGTGCCCGGCGCCTCCTTCTTTGACATAGAGGAGTGCCGGGACAGAGCGTCGCCCTACGAGATGATGCTGCCCAGCAAGGCGGGCTTCGCCGACTACGTGGGCAGCCTGGGCATCAGCAACGACACGCATGTGGTGGTGTACGATGGTGACAACTTGGGCAGCTTCTATGCGCCGCGGGTCTGGTGGATGTTCCGTGTGTTTGGCCACCGCACCGTATCCGTGCTCAATGGTGGCTTCCGGAACTGGCTGAAGGAGGGCCACCCGGTGACTTCTGAGCCCTCACGCCCAGAGCCAGCTGTCTTCAAAGCCACACTGGACCGCTCCCTGCTCAAGACCTACGAGCAGGTGCTGGAGAACCTCGAATCGAAGAGGTTCCAGCTGGTGGATTCACGGGCCCAAGGGCGGTACCTGGGCACGCAGCCGGAGCCAGATGCAGTAGGTAGGTGTCCCCGTGGTGGGGATGGTCCCTGGGGAGCAATGCCCAGTGGAGAGATGGGGAGTAGGATGTCTGAGACCGTCTCCAGGTTTTGCCCTCAGTAACCCCATGCAGGCCTCAGTCTTTCCATCTGTAAAATGAAAGGGTAGAGCCCAACCTAAAGGCTTTTCAGGCTCTGATGCATGAGGACGTACACATGTGTTCCCATAGCCACGTGCTAAGGCGTGACCTAGCATCTGTATGGAGTGGCATAAGCAGAGGTGACTGATGACATATCCACCCACATCCATGCCCAGGCGCTAGCTCCACCACATGCCCAAAAGTGTCCGTGAGCCACACATGCATCGCTGAACAGAAGCTTCCTGAGGACCTCTCTAGTGCTTCAGAAATTCTTAGAGACATGAACAATGCTCTTCCCAGCACCCCATCCCTCCCTCCAGCTCTACTGGACCCCCTGACCTTCCTTAAGTTACTTGCTCAGTTAAGTGCTGAACCCAGTGCTGCCTAGTTTCAAACCAGTGCTTTAAACCAGGATGCACCATCATTCTGCCCACTCCCCACCTCCCAGGGCCAGCAGGGAGCCCTTCCACTAGGCATCTTTAGGGAGATGGCTCATGAGTTCTCTCATGGGTGTGTGTGTGTGGGGGGGGGGGGTTCTACACTGCTGGAGGTGGGGGGAGTCTCAGGAGAGGAAATGCTGCGTTCTAGCTAGAAACTCCTAACAGAGAGGACCACGGAGGTCTTGCCATCACCCCTTCTGGGCGCCCTCCAGCCCCTGCCTGGACACCTCTGGTGGCCAGGACCTCACTGCTCTCAGGGCCTCTCGGGGCCCAGGCTGGCTGAGCCCTCAGGATGGCGGGAGGGGGCTGCGGCTCTGTCCTCAGTCAGGGCGCCTCTGTGGAATCCAGCTGCTGTGCAACGTTTGGACTAACTTGTTGAAAAATCCCTTTCTTTCTGCGCCTCTGAGGAGAGAGCGCTGTGAAAGCTGCTTCCAACATTCTTAGAGCTGGAGGGACTGAAAGGTCACCTCATCAGTCAGAAGAGAGGCTGTGGTGCACAGAGGAAGGAGTAGGTCAAGCCCACTTGGGTAGTTAGTGGAAAGCGCAGGGCTCTGCCCTCACCATCGTGGCTTTCTCCGAGCCCCGTGTTCTTCCTGCCCAGCTTGCTCTCTGAAGTTCTAGAGTTGAAGATTCAAGTTTGTTTAGCACCTTCCAGAGACTCCTGGCACGGAGCTCCTGCAGCCTCCTCCTGGCCTTGGTTCAAGGCACGTTCTCTCCTTGGGACTTAAGCTGCCGCTGGAGGGAGGAGAGGTGGGATTGTTTCTCTAGCTGCTCCCCATCTTGCTCTGAAGCAGACAGAATAAGTAAAGGGAGAGTTTAGAGATGCCAGATCCCATCTCCTTACTCCCATTTTAAAGATGAGGAAACTGAGGCTCAGAGAGGGGGAAAAGCCTGCGGCTGCAGGTAAGACCTCCTGGAAGCCCCGAATTCTAAAGTCCCTCCCCCTCTCCGTGGCCCGCTTCCCCCCTCCTCCAGTTCCCATCTGGAGACCAGGGAGCATGGACCCCAGTTTAAGCCCTGCTCCTCCTTTGTGCTGGGACCTCAATCAGTTAATTGCTTGGCCTCTTTGGGTTCCCTTATAAAATGAAAAAGAATAATGCCAGCCCTACCCACCTGGCTGTGTATTTATTAAATGCAGCAGTGGCTGGAAAGGTATTTTTGAGAAGGGTGAGGAACTGTGCAAAGGCCGGGCGCCTGGAAAGCCTCCCGTACAAGACATTTGGGGAATGTTAGGGCATGTGAGGCTCTGCCGAGTTCACAGTCCTCTGCTTGTGGTGGGATCACAGAGGCACCCCGTGGGCTCAACTGTCCAGATGTAACACCCAGGGAAGTGTGGGTGTCCCTGGAAGGAAAGACCCCCAAGAGGAGCTGGAAACAGGGCCTTAGAAACCCGACAGCCACTTCCTGCCCCTTTCAGGCGAGTAACTTCCCCTCTGGCCTCAGTTTTGTGCCCCCAGTGCCTTCAGTCCTGTTTGTAAGGGACAAAAGGTGAGAGTCAGACAGACCTGAGTTTACATCCTGGTGTGGCCTCCGGCAGTTCCCTCCACCTCCGAACCCTCCTCCTAATGAAAGGGACACCACTTACCTTGTAGGAGCCTTGGGGAAAGGGAGGGAACAGAGGTGGGAGTTGATCCAGCTCAGTGTCTTTATAAACCTTATTCTCTTTTCCTCCCCACCGCCCACCCCAGGTGGGGGGTCCATGAGCGTGAAGAGGGAGGATATTGACCCCCTAATGCGTACTATTATTTGCAGGACACTTTATATACATTCTCCCCCGGGTACCTACGGCAGCCAGACAGGGGAGGCAGGCGGGGGTTCAAAGCGGTCCCACTTTGCAGGTGGGGAAAGGGAGCAGGAACTTCTCTATCCAGACACAGAGGCCAAGACTTGACCCCAGTCGCAGGATCAAAGTGGCGTTATTTCCCAAGGGCACTGCTGTGTAAGCAAACACGGGGATGGGGTTGGTGGGGGGGCGGGGAAAGGTCATAGCTTCCAGGTGTTGCTTCATATTGCATCATGGGGTTGTATGGCTCCTGCCTGTGTCTCCTCCCAGGGATGCGGACTGGGGTGGGGGTCAGGGGGAGTGCTGAGCAGCCTCCCAGCCACCAGGGTTGGGAGCTGCCCACTGGGGCTGCCTGCACTGGGTTCCTTAGTGTCTTTAGGACGAAAGCAAGAAAGAGCTACACAGGTTTTCCTGGCCTTGGAAACCCATACCTATCAGTGACCTGAGGGATGCTAATTCACCAACTAGACTAGCATCTCCTTGGCCAAAGCTGGAACATCAATTCAAGTCCCAGACCTCTGAGCAGGCATCAGGAGAGGTCATCTCAGCCATTCCCCTGCTTCAGCCACTCTTTCCAGGAAGGCTCAGGGTAGTCAAAGTACACAGGCTTTGGGGTTGGGCACACCTGACTGCACATCACACCTGTGCTGTGTGTCGTGGGGCAAGTTACCTCACCTCTCTGGGCCTGGGCCCCCCATTCGTGCCAGGAGGCTCATCTCTCTCCCCAGCTCCGTGAGGATTGAGGAAGATGAAGTTCTTGAGATAGCCCATTGTCTGGTGCCAGAGGTTTTGAGCTTGGTGGCACGCCTGCTGGGGCCAGGGAGAGCCACAAGCCCCCAGCTGAAGCTGGACTTGGAACAGCAGCAGGAGCCCTTGTCCCTGGGCGCCAAGTGCCTTTCCCCTCATTGGCTGTTGGCTGTTCTCCGAGGTTCTCTGGCCAACTTCATCTCAGCCCTCCCCCCGTGAAGGCGGCCAGTTCCTGCTCATTTAAATTCCTCAGACAGGTCCTGAGCCTTCCCTGGCAGAAAGGGAAGGCTCCCACCTCCCGATGCTGGCCCAGTGTGGGGGCTGGAGTCGGCAGAACGCCCTGCCCCCAACTTCTTTACTCAGAGTGGTGCCTTTTATTAATTAGAAGAAAACAATAAAGCTGTTTCATCAGGGATGGGTGGAAAGAAAACAAAACAGCGTTCAGGACTCAACGAACACTTGTGCTCTTCAATGCACTTAAATCCAGCCCACGGCCTGGGTACTGAAACTTTTTTTTTTTCTGTGGTGGGATTTCAGTTCCCCCACCAAGGGTTGACCTGGGCCCCAGCAGTGAAAGCATGGAATCCTAATCACTAGGCCACCAGGGAACTCCTTGAAATATTTTCAAGTTGGGTTTCTTGGAAGAGAACACCTTTGAAGCCAACAGACCAATTGCCCTTCCCTGGTAGGGTCAGTACACATCTGATCTTAGATCAAAGTTTCCAGGCAAAAAGTGAAATCACAACAGGAAGAAATCACTATAATTTTATAAGTCAGGGGACTTCCCTGGTGGCACAGTGGTTAAGAATCTGCCTGCCAATGCAGGGGACATGCGTTCGAGCCCTGGTCCAGGGAGATCCCACATGCTGCAGAGCAACTAAGCCCGTGCGCCACAACTACTGAGCCTGCGCTCTAGAGCCCGCGAGCCACAACTACTGAGCCTGCGTGCCGCAACTGCTGAAGCCCGCACGCCTAGAACCCATACTCTGCAACAAAGGGAAGCCACTGCAATGAGAAGCCCGCGCACCGCAACGAAGAGTAGCCCCCGCTTGCCGCAACTAGGGAAAGCCCGCGCACAGCAACAAAGACCCAACGCAGGCAAAAAAAAAAAAGGAAAAAGTTTAAAAAAAAAAAAACGGAAATCCTTTAAAAAAAAATTTTATAAGTCAGGACATGTAGTCAATCAAAGGAGCTCTTGATTTGCGCCAGCCAATTTTGAATCCTCATTGGCCTCGGGGTGAGGAGAATGGGACTTTGCTGGCATGATTACTCACCTCCTGGGTGCCCACGGTCATTAGGGGTTTTTATCTGCAGAAGCTGACTTCCCAACAAGCCTGTGAGGAAGGTGGAGTTATCTCCCCATTTCAAAGGTGGGGAACTGAGGCTCAGACGTGCAGGGCATGCCTGGCTGCACGCTGGTGCCCTGATTACCCCCGGTCAGGTCCTTTCCCTCCCACGGCTGCCCAGTCTGGTCCTGCCCTGCCCCACAGTCTGGGTTAAGTGGGGAATTTTGGAGGAAGGGGAGCCCAAAGAGACACCCCAACCTTCCTCAGGCCCCCCTCCCAGTGCCCAGTCTGCCAGGGTGTAGGGCGCTTGAGGACAAGGAGTGACCTAGGCCTTGGGTCTGCACGTGGCACCAGCTCTGGCCATGGCCCAGCCCCACTTGCCCCACATGCTGGCTATTCTGAAGCCAGATTTGGCAGGGGGCCTTCCTGGGTGCAGAGAAGGTTCTGGAATGGACCCTGGAGCTAGCCTAGCCCCCATTCTGCTTCCGTCAAAGCCTCTCAGGGCTGCTAGGAAGATCCTGAAGGGACCACACTGCCCCCATTCTCACCTGTCCCCCATCGTAGGTGGGCAAGTGGTAGAGAAGCAGCAGCATCTGAGGGTGGCTCGGCCAGCTGTAGTAAGTCGGTGCTTTACCCTATACAACAGCCCTTCCACACGCAAACACTCATTCCCACTGTACCCACGGGGACACTGAGGCTCAGAGAGGTTATATGACTTGCTTGAGGTCACCTTGCCAGTAAGTGGCAGAGTTGGGATTTGAACTTACGTCTCAAACCAAGCCCCAGGCTCTTTCCACACTGTGTGCTTGACAGGAAAACCACGGGCCTCCGTGTAATCCTGGGTCTGCCTTTACCTCTCTGTGTGGCCTCAGGCTAGCCTTTTCACTTTGCCAAGCCTCAGTGTACTCATCTGTAAAATGGAGTGACATTATATTTAGTGAATTATGCGGTTATGTGTTTAACCTCTATCTTCCTTGCTAGACTGTAACCTCCCTGAGAGCCTGGGCTGTGTCTCCCCTTCACCACCGTGTTCTCAGCAATAGCCCATAGCATTTGCAGTCATCGTCCCATTTGCTGTTCTCCACAACCCTATGAGATAGGTACGTACCACTGAGCCCATTTTACAGATGAGAAAACTGAGGTTCAGAGAAGTGAAGCAAGTTGCCCAAGGTAAAGGTTAGTAGATGATAGAGCCAAGACTCCTCCCTGTCCTCTCAAGCAGGTAGCACATTCCTGCGTCAAGGCAGATTTTGGCGTGGGGGGCGTGATGTCATGAGCACTGGATGTAGGTAGGGCTGGAATAAATTGAGCTCTGAGAAGGGCAAAGATGTTATTTTTATTTGCAAAGCTCCCTCTCCTTATAGCCACGGTTGATTGTGACCTCCAGGCCCCACTTACCCCCACCCACTGTGTCACTCCTAACCCTGTCTTTCCCTTTGTCCTCTACCCCTGCCCAGGACTGGACTCGGGCCACATCCAAGGCTCAGTCAACATGCCCTTCATGGACTTCCTGATGGAGGATGGCTTCGAGAAGAGCCCGGAGGAGCTTCGTGCCATGTTCGAGGCCAAGAAGGTGGACCTCGCAAAGCCCATCATCGCCACGTGCCGAAAGGGTGTCACTGCCTGCCACATCGCCCTGGCCGCCTACCTCTGCGGCAAGCCCGATGTGGCCATCTATGATGGTTCCTGGTTCGAGTGGTTCCACCGGGCCCCCCCGGAGACCCGGGTGTCCCAGGGGAAAGGCGGGAAGGCGTGAGCAGTGGCCTCTCCTACCCTCGCCCACAACTCCTGCCAGTGGAGTGACCCCAGCGTGGCCCGCAGCTGGTCCATGCCTCGTCGGCTAAGGAGATGAACAAGATTTTAGAGTTAATGGGTAGAGCGCTTCTTTTCCCAACAACACTGGAATAAAACTGGCCTTTTCCAAGTAGCTGTGTGAGCCCGTTCCTCCCTTGGTTCCATCCTTACCCCATGTTTCCTTCTCCTTCAGATTCCTTAGAATCCACCGAGGAAGGGAACCTCCACACCCACCCACACGCTGGGGACACCGCTTTATTACTTAGTTTTGGCAAAGGAAGCCTCCTGTTGCCGCCTGTCAGATGGAGCACGCTGGGACCTTTCCTGGAATGGGTACCAGGAAGCCAGACAGATAGTGAAACCTAGGTTAGCCGGCACACCATCCCTTCCTGCTGTGGGTCCAGCCCTCTAGGAGGAGAGGGTGGGAGGGGAGACAGCTGGTCTTCACCTGAAATGAGTGTTCAAAGAGGTGTCCCACAGGCCCTGGGGCCTTTCAGAAGAGGTGATGCTCAGAAGCACCCCAGTGTTCACTGCAGCACTATTTACAATAGCCAAGACACGGAAGCAGCCTAAATGTCCATCAACAGAGGAATGGATAAAGAAGGTGTGGTACATATATACAATGGAATATTACTCAGCCATAAAAAAGCATGAAATAATGCCATTTGCAGCAACATGGATGACCTGGAGTTTATCATAGTAAGGGAAGTAAGTCAGACAAAGACAAATATCATATATCACTTATATATGGAATCTAAAATACGACACAAATGTACTTATTTACAAAATAGATACAGACTCACAGTCTTTGAAAACAAATTTATGGTTACCAAAGGGGGAAGGTGGCGGGGGGATAATTTAGGAGTTTGAGATTAACATATACACACTACTATGTATAAAATAGATAGTCAACAAGGGCCTACTGCATAGCACAGGGAACTCAACATTCTGTAATAAGCTATATGGGAAAAGAATCTGAAAAAGAATGGATATATGTATATGTATAACTGAATCACTTTGCTGTACACCTGAAACTAACACATTGTAAATCACCTATACCCCAAAATAAAATAAAAATTCAATTAAAAAAAAAGGCGCAACATTGTAAATCAACTGTATGCCAATAAAATTAAAAAAAAAAAAAGAAGTAGGCCAAAGGAAGGTGGTCTCCACCTTGGGTGCCCTTCCTGGATCAGAATAAGACCCTTTGGGGAGCGATGTGGGGAGGGGCTAGAAAGAAGCTTCAGCCCCTGGGAGAAGGTCTTTGAGCTCTGCCAGTGGGAATCAGGAAGCTACAGGAGAAGCAAGTAACCTGGTAGACTGGGACCTATGTGACTGGATTTGGAGTTTCCTGGAAACAGGCTGTCTAAACCCTCCTTTGGGGCTTCAAGATGATTCCAGGCCCCACCTAATGGGGATTCTCTGATCCCAGCTGTCCAGTCTTCCCGGGTTAAGTTTGGACAAGAGGAGTAGGGCCAGGGACCGAGGTTGTCAGTGATGGACCCCAGCCCCTAACCCAGCGTTGGGGCGATCAGGTGCTCTGTTACTGCTGAGGGTGTTGGGTTAGTGGCAGGGAGCTGAGGGCCCATGGGGTCTGCAGGGGAAGAGGGCTAGGGCAGTCTGGACCCCTCTTGCCTCCATGCCATCCTTCTGCCAGGTTTAGGTCCCTTATTGGAGCCTTTAGGGGCCAAAGAGCCAATCTCAGGGGATGAAGACTCTCCCCGCACTCCCTCCTCCTCCTCCAGTCCCAGAGCTCATTCCATCAACATGTTTACTGAGCACCTACTGTGAGGTGGGCACTGGTCCAGGTGCTGGTAACATGGCAGTGAACATAATCTCCCTCCTCATGTGTGCTTCACATCCTACCTGGGGGGATATATATATATATATATATATATATATATATA